GTTACACTTTACTGGATTACACTGATACAGAGACATGTTTGTAATTGTCCCACCATGGGTAAAACTTAAGAGCTTTCTGCTCTTCACCCTCACTCTTTTTACTTCTCTTCAYTTCTTGCTACTTTTTTTAATTAAGCCACTTTGCTTTCTCAGCAATCCACAGAGAGTGTGAGATTCACTTAACAGGAGAAGTGGGACAGAAAACCATTTAGGATCTGAGGTCTGATAGCCTTTCAGGATTCACAAATGTAAGCAGGAAAGCCTCATGGGGGAAGGGGTCACCATTTYATGGGATGCACATGACAAGAACACAACTACTTGAGGTTCTCATWAAGTTTTATTATTAATGTAATCATCAAAAGTATAATTTTCATCATAGTGTTTCATATTTTACATTTATTTCCAAATGATGATTTGAGTCAACGTGTGTTCTGTATTATGTTTGTGTCCATTTCTTGTGCAGATTATGGCAAACATTCAGATGCATCATTTAATTGTGTGTAGCTGGGATTTTCCATACAAAAAAGTCAAATAAACAAACAAACAAACAAACAAACAAATAAATAAATAAATAAATAAATAAATAAATAAATAAATAAATAAATAAATAAATAAATATAAAATCTAAACTTTGCACAAAAAGTATGGAAATTTGTGTTTGGTAGATTATTTATTTGTTATAACAATACTTCTTGGTTATACAGTACATCATAAAGCATTGGAAARCCTGTTAATTTCCCCTTTAAACTGAGCCACATTTGTAAGGAGCATGAATTGGTGGGATGAGCAGTAGAGTATGTGGGTTRCACACATAAAGCATTGACCAAATCTTCTTTGCCAGTRGCAAAYATCTTATTTTGATRTTGCTACTRAACCTTGTTTAGAGTTTCTACCCCCCCCCMCCCCCCAGGATCTGTCAGTCCACTGCCAATCTTAATACAATATTTATTGGCAAGAAGGTGTTCACTCTTGTCAGGGTACAAGTCCATCAAAGGGTCAAAAAAGGACAAACAACCATTCATGCTCTCAATCACACCTGGGGGCWCTTAGGGTTAYCARTTAACAGTGGTGGGCACAGTTCCCCTAAAGCACTAATAGGGGAACTAATTTCCTGATTAGTGCTTTAGGGCTTTTGCTAGTTTTAGAATTTATTAGTGGATTAGCACTTGCTAAATTTATAGACTAAATTTAGAAGCACTAACTGAAGTCTTTAAATGTTATTGATCAACATTATTAATAACATCTGACGGTGAAAGCTGTTGCACATTTTGTTCATATACAGTATATGTCATTTATCCACAAGGTGACAATATATGAACTTAAATAAGACTGTGGAATGTCAATTATAAGTCTTAAGAGAGCAACGTGGCAACATGTGACTCATGTTGTCTGTTGAAGAATGTTCATGGGTTGACTGGGTTATTTTAGTGCTTTAGAATAAATTTTTGCTAAAATTTTCAGTGCATTAGTGCTTTAGAATTAGGGGACCTAAATATTTGAGTTAGTGCTTTAGGGTTAGTGGAACTAATTTTTAGATTAGTGCTGCCCACCACTGCCAATTAATAACATGCATCATTTGGTTTGTTGGGGGAAGCTGGAGTATGTAGAGTAAACCCACATCTGCACAAGGAGAACATGCAAACTCCACAAATAAAGGCCCCGACCAGGAAGTAAACCTGTGGTTGCATCCCAATTCAGAGGCTACAGCCTACAAAACAGATGTGCTGGATTTACTTAACCAAGTTACGTCAATACTTTCCACTCATCTGAGTTGAGTAAAGGTTAAGCAACTTTTACATTTTCTTTAATAAAATAAATGTGTAACTTGATTTAACTTTACTTAACTCAGAGGAGTGGAAAGTATTGACATAAAATTTAAGTAAATGCAACACAATGCATGAGACAGCTGTGAAATGAGACAGTTTAGTCTTTTGATGACATAGCTATGTTTGTGTGAGCACACAGTACCCCATTTCCATGATGATACATTTTTAGCACATGCCTTTAGACTTAAAATGCATTAGGACATGCATTCATGTCTTTTCACTGAAGGAATAACTTCACAATTAAAACCATCCATCCATCCATTATCTATACCCGCTTCCTCCTTTCAGGGTCATGGGGGTCACTGGTGCCCATATCCAGCAGTCACAGTGTGAGGGGCGGAGTACACCTCCATCACAGGGCCACACATAGAGACAAACAACCATTCACCATCTCACTCACATCTAGGGACAATTTAGAGTTACCAGTTAACCTAACAGTCGTGTTTTTTGGTCACACATGCATGCAGAGAACATGCAACCTCCACCCAGAAAGGTCCCCGAGCTGGGATTTCATCCAGCAACCTTCTTGTTTAGAAGCAACAGCTCTACCAACTGAGCCAGCATTACATAAAAACAAATAAAATAACTTTAATAATTTGGGTTTGGCTCCAGAATCAGAACTTGTAATTGCGTTTTATTTAAAATTTCATTGCAGCATAAATCAGCGAAATTGCTAAACATACATTTTAAAACAAATTTTTTGGTCTGTCACAAATTTCCAAACTGTGCGGACTAAAAAATAATAAATAAAAACATTAAAAAAAACTCTCTTGTCTTATTTTTTCTGTTTGGTTTGCTGAATCCTGCCTTTGACCTAAGCTTGCGTATACATTTCAATTATTTAGAACAAGCGGCTCAAGASTGAGCCTGTGATGATGTTTGAAAAGTAAAAACATTGGTAAAAACAAATTACAAATTACTACAGATTCATTTGACATTTCCTCGTGACACAGACAGTAAGTCGAGGTTCTGGCAGAAATGCTTTGTTTTGACGTATTTTTTGTTCTTGTAGCAGAAACTCGAAGGAGAACTGAGTGACACCCACTGYACAACTTTTGATTTCTTAGACGAGTTCAGCAAGCATACAAATCTAYGCCCTTACACATGGGAATCTTTACACACAGCAGAAGCTTGTTTTAAAGCAGAAGCTTTAGGCATTTTAAGACGTAAGACATCGTTTGAAGCAGCTTGTGAGTCTTAAATATTTAAACATGGCTACAGGAGAGCAAACCCATCAGCAGCAGGTTAAAGTCCATTGTGGCCTTGAGGTWTGATAAAGCCACAAGTTGGTGTTTGGCCTGACATCAGGCATGTCCATACAGATTATTTTTTTTCTCAGGCAGTGTGCGTGTACACATGAGTACACAGGCTGTATGCATTCAAATGCCCAGCGTGGATCTTGTTTGTCCACTTGCTTTTTTTGTTTTGTTTGTTTTTGTTTCCAGGAAAGCAGTGTTTGTCTGCGGTTCAGATCCCAGCATGTTTGTCTGGTTGGTTTCTGGAAGAGAGTGCTTTCATCTTGGCAGTATGTCACTTCAATTTTGCTTTTTGGTAACAAGAACTGAAAGAACAGAGGTCAGAACCGAGCTTAACGTGACATAGGTGAAGTGAAAAAAAAATCACTACATCAGTGTTAAAAAACAAATATGGTGTTGGGGAGAGTATACCTCCATATTTTCCCTCTCAACATTTCAGCTTCTCCATTCCCACTAAACAGCTCTGGCTGGTGCCGTAGCTGGTCTCATGCTGCACGTCAACACGTTTGGCTGAATTTATCTTCTGTTTATTTACCATGTGTTGAATGTATACAGGCTGTAAAATGGTGCGTTAGGACGAAACACATGGAGCAGTGGTGTCATTTGAGCTTGCATTTAACAAGACCAGCTGTTGTCTCTAAAAGCTGGAAACACTCGGCTCGCGTGCATCTAAAAGCTTTCCATTTCCTTTACTCTCGTCCCAACACACAAATATACGGATAACACAACACACTGAGYCTGATGGATCGATGTGCCAGCAATAGGGGCACTCAGACGGTTCCTTGGAGCATTATAATTCACTCGGCTGAGCAAAAACTCGAAGCGTCTATGAATCTCCACGCATCCACTGGGCTGTCAGCAGGTCGTCGCTGTTTTGCCTTCATTAGTACACACCATTTCTGGGTTATGACTGYGAAACCATTGAACTGAATGGGGATGTCATCATCCTGGCATCCTCTCAGACCTCTCCTGTCTCCTCTCACCATCATCCTGCTGTTATCTCATGAACCCTGCAAACAATAAAGCTGCCTCGTGACACACAGGCCTCTGTGTGTGAGTACTTTAAATGGATGTGACCCAAGCAACAGCACCTCTCTCTACACACATATACAGTATATAGGGCTACAATGAAGACAGTTTATTTATAAGATAGTACTCATAGTGCATGCTATAACATTAATGGACATGCAGCTTCGCAAAAGCAGAATAACTATGGTTAAAGAGTGACAATAGAGAGAAATATCCTATTTATGTCCTAAATTACTGCATGTCAGCATAATAGACTAGTGGAATGACTGTTGAATTTTCAACAAAGAGAGATAAATGCTTTCTTTTCCACACCTCGAGCTGCAATGCCAGCCTAAATCAGAATAAATTGTTTTATTATTAATGTTTTCAGAAGAAGGCAGTTGCATTAATTTAGATATAATGTTATTTTGAGAGAGAAGCAGGGGAAAATAGGCATGATACTTCAATTTGTTTAGATAAAATAAGTCAGCATTTCAGTGAACTGCTGCTGAATGCCCTAAACTAATGTTTCTTACATTTGGACAGCAAAGGAAAAAAATGCAGAGATTTTAAACTAACGTTGGTTGAGTTCCATCTTTGGTTGTAGGCATTTTAGAAAATCAATGACTTTCCACTTTAAAAAGGGTGCATAATATTTAATTAAACAAATTTGCAAAGCCTTTTAAACCATGTTGACATTGGCTTTGAGTTAAGAATACTAACTAAAATTATATTCCACTGCAGTCGTGTCAAACATTGGAATGATATGAAGTCCTGAACAGTGAATGAAAAAAAAGAAAAATTCCATACCTACGTATCACTCAACATTGAGTGTTTTACAAATACAAATATAAAAGAAATTTTTTATAAAAATAGAACAAAAATATTCTTTAAAATTTGCTAAAAATCAATAAACACATCAATAAACAAACCTGCACAATGTTCAAAAAGACATTTTAAGTTTACCTGCATGTCAGCACTTGATAAAGAGTAAACATAAAAAATGGCAGATTTCTAGCCAGCATTAATCTACTGTAAATCTTCATTAAAAAGACATGGCAGGTAAAGATCATGTGTATGCTGTTTTGGTCCAGATTTGCAGCCCACCACAGCTTCATAATGGTTATAACTGCTGCTCTCTACTGGAAAAAAAMCAAACAAAAAACAACAACAAAAAAACCTGCCAGGGTTGAGAGATTGACGCTCAAGTGCACTCATAAATCTCATCTGAGAAAGAAACCCACAATTGTTAACATGACCAAAAGCTTTTTGACAGTAATCTCGGTGTCTCTCTCTGTTGCTCAGGGTTTCCCTAACACCAGTGGTGATCTTGGTGATTGTGTCTCTCTCTGACTCAGGGTTGTGTCAGATAAAGCAATAGATTAAAGCCTCTCATGAATGTTGATCAGTTGTAATCATAAACAGATTTGTTCTCAAATAAAAATCCAAAGGTATTGTCATTGCCCATCATTTAGACAGATGATAGTGGTCACTTTATGCTGTAATTATTGATTATTACTGGCTTGGCTACTATTTGGCTAGTGTTGCAAGCAGGACAACTGTTACAAACTGATGTTACCATAATTCTAACTCCATGCAGACCAAATGCCCTAAATTACACAGGTGGCAGTTTTACAGTATACAATTATCAGTCTATATGACTTGGACCAGCATGTTGTCTTCCTCGTTTACCATTTCTGCAAGATAATCTTACGGTCCTGTACTGGGAAACAGAATTCATTAGCAGAGGGAAACTTCCACCCATCATCCAGCTGAACTTTAACAGGACAATCATCTCCCKTAGCTCATTTTATACATCTGTGCGCATTTTAGTGATATTTACATAGTTAGTGTTAGGAAGGGTACAATTTCCTGTTTTCTTGCTCTCTGGTCTGAAGTCCTCTGTGCTGTGGTTCACAGTCTCCTGGATCTCCACGTAATCTGACTTGCTGAGAGTGGATCCACTGCCACTTCGTCCACTCTTCTTCAGCTCATCAGCTGAGCTGGCTTTAGGCACGCTCGGGATGTTCAGATACTGTGCCTGCTCCTCACCCTCTGTCTCTCTGTGGTAGAAGTAGTTGAAATTCGACACAATGACAGGTACAGGCAAGGCAATAGTCAGCACTCCAGCGATTGCACAGAGWGAGCCCACGATTTTCCCTCCTATGGTTGTTGGTACCATGTCTCCGTAGCCAACGGTGGTCATTGAAACCACTGCCCACCAAAAGGCTTCGGGGATGCTACTAAACTGTGAATCTGGCTCGTCTGCTTCTGCAAAGTAGACAGCACTAGAGAAGAGGATTACACCAATGAACAGGAAGAAGATAAGGAGGCCCAGCTCACGCATACTGGCCTTTAGAGTTTGTCCCAGGATCTGGAGCCCCTTGGAATGGCGTGAGAGTTTAAAGATTCGGAACACCCTAACGAGACGAATGACACGAAGGATGGCCAAAGACATAGCTTGCTGGCCTGACTTATCCTCTGGTCTCTCTGCAAGCTCTGTGCCAAGGGTGATGAAGTATGGGATGATGGCCACAATATCTATGATGTTCATGATGTTACCAAAAAATCCAGCTTTGCTCGGACAGGCAAAAAACCTTACAAGGAACTCAAAAGAGAACCAGATGATGCAGAGCGTCTCCACAATAAAGAAAGGGTCTGTAAAATATGATGAGCTGTCGAAATTAGAGGTGAAGTTGGACTTGGACCGGATGGGACTATTATAAGTCTCCCCATCTTCATTTCGGAAAAGAGGCAGCGTCTCCAGGCAAAAGCTTACAATCGAGATAAGAATCACCATGACTGAGATGATGGCAATGATTCGAGCCGGACCTGAACTCTCGGGGTATTCAAACAGAAGCCACACTTGTCTTTGAAACTCGTTCTCTGGCAGTGGTCGCTCCTCCTCTTTTATGAAACCTTCATCCTCCCTGAAAATCTCCATAGCCTCCTCCCCCAGTTCATAAAACCGAATCTCTTCAGAAAAAATGTCCAGAGTCACATTGACGGGGCGACGTAGCCTCCCTCCAGATTGGTAATAATACAGGATGGCGTCAAAACTCGGCCGATTTCGGTCAAAAAAGTACTCGTTTCGGAGAGGATCAAAATATCTCATTCTCTTTTTGGGATCACCCAGCAGAGTTTCTGGAAACTGAGAAAGCGTCTTGAGCTGGGTCTCAAAGCGTAAGCCTGAGATGTTGATGACGACCCTCTCGCAGCATTCATGATCCTGCTCGGGGTCGTACTGGTCATGAGGCTGACCCGAATGCGCCGCTGCTTCGTCCGCAGGGTCGCTGGCAGCAACCGTCATGATGGAGGGAGATGAGGCCTGCAGCTTTCAGAGAGGGTGGGGCCACGTTGGGCCACGAGGATCTAAAGGCTCCACACACTTGAGGGCTCAGGCATAGGCAGATCTGCCTACAAACAGCTACAGAGACAGAAAAGGAGAGCAAGGCTGCAACATTAATGTGAATACTTGTTGCTCCATGCTGTGTTTTCTATGCAACAAGCAGAAAAATAAGAATAATCTTTAGCAATCAAAATTTCAGGGCAAGCCCATCCAACAGATTTGCATGGTCATTATTTCCCAGMAACACAGTTTTATTTATATATTTTTTCTGCAAATTCACAAGAGCAGAAATGGTTGAAAATAACAGGAGAGAGGAGGGAGGCGGACTCGCCGGCTCCATTGGGTCTATGTGTATTAAGTTATGAGTTCTCTTTCATATGAGCACCCGGCAGGATCGATATGCTAGCCACTAATACTGCATCCACTCTCACWGGGTGCAATTATAGCAAATAGATCTGATTATATGCTGAGTGCTCTCTAGACTATCTGGATCTTCTCTGCGTGGATGTGAACAGAATTTACCCCCCATTCCTCCACCCACCCCCCTCCAAAAAAAAACAAGAATTATATCAAACCAAGTTTTACATTTTATTTTATTTTATTTTGTGAGATTATTAAAGATATTGGTTGGTCAAAACAACCCATTGCATTGATTTGCTTGATCAGTGCTAAATCAGGATTCTGTTGCTTTTCGAACCAAAACACTGCAACGCAGGAACGTATCAGAAGATTTGCAGGGTCGTGGATAAAATCTGAAGCTCATTCTTTTCATGGATCTCGTAAGGCTTGTTTACAAAATAAACTGACTGAACTACTAACTGAGATATTATTCAAAGTCAGCACCCTCATTCCAAATAGACTCCCTGGTTCTTTAGCGAGGCAGGAGTTGGACGTTTTACAGTGGAGGGTAGGGATGGGTGGGGAGGTGTGAGGATGCAGGATTTACCTTCCTCGTGCTTCAACAGAAACATGTTGTGATGCAGCAACAAGCCACAGATTGAAGCAGGCTTGGGGGGGGGGGGTGGAGGCGATGGTGACAAAAGGTAATCTCACTGAAAATGCTGTGATAGGCTCCTTTCATTTGCAGAGTTACAGATGAAGGGGAGGCTGTGCGGGAAGCGCAGCTGACAGCATTTTCCCTCAGAAACACCTCAACGCTTCAGCACAAAGCTGTCACGTAAGGCACCTGTTTGAGCTTTTTAATGTTCTCTTCGCTTTGGAGACATTTCAGATCTTTATTTTTGATTTTGAAAATAAACCTTACGCAGATTGCTGATTTGTGATCCACAAGAATACACAAAAAAACATATGCTTGTGTTTACAGCTCATTCCATTAATAACAACACAACCCTCTGATGTCATTTTTAGTTGCAGAGAGGAAATTAAAAACACATTTGTTTTCATAGACACATTAGAAAAAAAGCAGCCAAGTTCATGCACTGGGATAATGAGACATTAAACGGCATCTTGTTCGGTGAGCTTGGATTAGTTTGGATCGGCAGGTGCCAGGCATGCTCAAGCCATTTGCAGCTCACTATATGTATCCTCTGTGGAAGGACAGCAGTCTCCATGCACTAAAACAAAGCAGCATAGCATTCTTATCTTCAGCATCAGAAAGGRCATGCAGGAGAATTCACCGGAGTTTTCTTTCTCGGTGCGCAGACGCATGGATTTTTGATCCAGTTAGTCTCTTCTTTTTAAGTTGCCTCCCAGCTCTTCCTTTATGTCTTCATCCCATCTGTCCTCCAGTTATTTGAGTTATGTGTGCTGCGGCTCAAGCTGCTGTGTCATCTCATCACGACTGGCTGTTTGGGAGTTGCCGGTCTCTTCCCTCAGTCGCTCATATTTCACCATAATTCTCCATAGTTGAGATGAGTGGGCTGCAGTTGGGCATTGCAGCGCATACTAAAAGGCTCTCACGCGCCTCGCCCCATCCCTCCGCGTGCTCGCTCTTCTTCCTCTCTCCTCACTGGGTTTCACATTAAAGAGGAAGCGTCGCCCATCCAGAGTGGAGGGGAAAAATATTCCCCCTGAGAGACAAAAGATAAACTGAAAATTAAAACATTAAAATAGAAACTGTTCATTTTTGTTTTAAAATGGAATGTAACMAGTGTTAAAAAATGTGTCTGTTAGCAAAATCTCTCATGAYAAATAAATAAATAAATAAATTTGGATAAAACTTGAAGAACATAATTGTTGCATAGACATCTACAACTGAGTAATTGTTGGAGTCAACCTCAATTAAAATGGCTGCCATGCCTGTTTGACTTAAAAAACACAAAAAATGTTATAATAAAGTCAAATTTACAGAGACTGAACAATAATTTAATGAGTTGGAAGATGAAACAACTCCACATTTGCATTGACAAATTGTGTTTCGTCTTTGTTTAAAAATTRTTCCATTGCATAATTGGAACCAACTGTGCTTGTCTGTTAGCAAAATATCAATATGAAGTACTCAACAGGTTTTAATGAAATGTCCAGTAAATAATCAATGGATACATGTGCATCTGATTAACTTTTGGTCAGTCCAATTCAAGAYGACCACCTCCAATCACAATGACAAACCAAAAYAAAMCAAAACAAACAAAAAAATGGGTACCACTCAATTAATTTTACAAATATTSAGCCAAAATTGGAGTAATCAATGGCATTAAGGCTRAATGTGAAACCTCATGATATTCCATGAGACAGAGTGTAACATTAAATTTGATGTTTGACCAAAATGGCTATAGCATCAATGTAGTTCAACATAAAACTCTGGCATAAAAGGCAATGACTAAATATGCATTTGTGCAACGAATAAAACACTTTTCATAGTTATGTGTTTGTTGAATGAATCAGTTTGAATTTTTTTTATCAGATTTGAAAGTGGACAGTCTCTGAATAGATCAAATAGATGAAGTGTTTCRTGTTCTCAAATATTGAACTTTAAGATATGTACCTCTTCAGGCATTTCATGTCCCACTAATAATTTACTGAAGCTTATATAACATTTATAAATGCAACCATTTGTCATAAATACTTTTAATACAAGAACTGGTTCCAAGCTAATAATGCACCGGTAAAGTGCAAAGTTTTTTTCCCCATGGTTCGCTTTCRTTCAGTTCCTTAAAAGTAGGCCAGGTGAAAGCCCAGATCTGTCTTCAAGGCAAGCAGAGAGCAAGAATTACACATAAAAGGAAAACTTTCCTCAACTCCCAGGGTAATACTTAAGGAATGCTTCTTTCTGAGCTCTGGTATGTTATACTGCTCAGGTTCAATAGTATGCAATCCTTTACTTGTCAGTGTGACCAAATAGTGATTAAGATGGAGATGTTGGGCTGCTGGGACAGCTGCTGGAGCTCGTTCTGCACAGAGCTGTGAAACACGTTGCCARTTTTTCTGAAGGTCTCAATGAGAGGCTATAAACAGGCTGACTGRTGACCARAAACTTTTAAATCTTCATCGACCGTGAATGTAAATTTAAAAGGTTCTTTTTGACATTCTGGGAAGGTGAAAAACAAGCTAGGCCACATACAGAGAGCTGTGGCAGAAGTGTAATAATTTATCAGCATCACCATATTCATGGCAACACTATAACACAGTTTGAGACCACTCAGAGAAAATGAGAATATACTTTATGATATTAGGTTTGCTGTGGTTGAAACAGGATTGCATTTTGTCTTCTTTGGATGGAAAAAATTTATTTACGTGAATGTCTAGAAACATTTTCACATTTTACAATTTAAAATTTGTCTTTTTTATTTTTTAGCTCACTGTCTTTTTTACATTTCGCTAATTTATGCAAAAACGTTAACTTAAAATTTTATGTATAAAGGTTAAATCCTAAATCTAAGTGTAAAACTTAAATCTTAAATGATATGGCTAAATGTAAAATTTTCCATAAGTATTTAATCATTCGCAGTCGATTGCAATTTTTTTCATGGCTTTGCTGTTGGTGCGCGACTTTTGTTTTGACGTCATCATCTTTYGACAAAAGCAACATCTAATGCTGTTATAATTAATGTTGCTAACATAACATTGCTAATCCTGCTGAARATGGCATTTAGAATTTAAACTCTAAATGTGTCCATTGAAAACAAWATAGATGGTACTTGTGGTCTGGCGTTTTAAAATACAACTCTGACACAGGCTGCTTTGAGGTCTTTCAGGGTGGCATTAGCAGCATTAGCAGCGTTAGCAGCATTAGCAATGTTAGCAGTTTGTTTTGTTTCAGGATGATGATGTCATGACAAAATCTGTGCACCAACAGCAACGGTTCACCATAAAATGTTACTTGAAAAATGTAACTAGGATTTTATCCTAAATAATGAAACTGTGTTGGTGACTTTTTTTACATTTAATTTTACACTTGGTACCCCATATAGAAAAGGTGAGTAAAATGTTTTTCCTAAAAAAATCTAATACTTATCKAAGCTAAACTATATACAGTAAAACCCATTCATTCATTTTCTACCATTTCGGTTTACAAAGACAACAGGTTTGAGAGGGAAACCAGACATCCCTCCCCAGCAAAACACTCCAGTTTTTTCTGGGAAATACCAGTGTTCCCATGCAGGCCAGACACCCTCCAAAAGGTTCTGGGTCTTCCTTGGGTAAATTCCCAGGATGTGTCTGGAAAACTTCTTAATGGAGCCATGAGGCGACATCCTAAACAAATGCCTAAACTACATCAGCTGACTCCAGGCTTGCAWATATTTTCATTCAACATTGCGATTCATTTTATCTTTATTTACACAAYTGTTTAACCAACACACTTTAAACCTAGACTGTGTATCTGGAAACAGGTTAAGTAGTGGAATGAGGAGGTAACAGTGGTGGAACAGCTGCCTGTTCTGTTGATACGGTATTCAGTATACTTCTAGTAAACAGTTTGGGAAAAACTGACATTAAYAGGAATATTTTAAAAGCTGACTCCAAACAAGGAAATACAGAGAGGCTAAAASAGACTTTAAATACACCACCACTTTTCCAAAACAAGGGCAAACACAATTGTTTTGAAAGAAACTAGCTTATAWGTGTCTCACTAGTTTTGGAAAAGGGCTTTTTTTGAGTCTCATTAGTATTTTATTGCTTAGACAAACTTGACCTTTAGATTAGGGTTAGAATCCTTGCCACTATTTATTTCACGTTGAGCAGAATATGAGATTAATGCTTCTGTTTCAAATGACCAGATTAGAAAATGAAACTGTAAAATGCTTTACAAACCTTTTGGCCCATATCTTCATAAAACATCTTGGGATTTTTCACTGTACAACTATTTGCTTTTGATTTGTTGACTGAACTTATTGCTGGTAATCAATCATACGGTGAGGAAGGAGGTCATCTGTTTTAGGCTTTATCTAAGATTCAGATAAAGATACAGACTGTTTGTTTAACTCTGCAGATCTGCATGCTCAAAACTCCACCCATGCAGCAGAACATATGGAGGTAAAAAAAAAAGAGGGAGGGTGAACAAAAGGAGATGGAGCATGGGGCAAATAAAAGAGGGTCGTGACAGCWGACTGCAGGAGAGGAGCTTTGTCCTGGATGTCCTCTGCCGGCACTGCAGCTGGTGATGGCTCACTCACAAACTGCAAAACACCCACAGAGGAGAAAAAAAAGTCATGGAGTTGAGTAAGAAAATGCCACAATAAGGATTTATCTGAATTCTGAAAATCCATTTAGACAAAGTTGTACAAATTTTATATTTTGCAGCATTGAGACAAAAAATGTAACACAACCTAGAACATACAGTAAATTATGTTAAAACCCCATGACTTTTCTGTTAGTTGTTTATATACAAAAAGTAATCCTAAGCCTTTAGATTCCACTTTAGCAGCAAAATGGACCAAAAYACAAAACTCATTAGGAGACATAATGAGCACATATGAACTTTGCACCTCTATGCCACTAGAGCAAAAACTGTAAGGGGTGATGATGATTAATAATCCATGCAAAAGGCATCTTCCAAACCAAAACAGATGTGTTACCTGAACTGGAAATCATGRCAATCATYGGAATGTTACAAATTAATWACAGTTTGGGTACAATCAGCAAACAAAAACATGGAGATTCAAGGATTCACAGAGAACATACAGTGTATGTACAAGGGTTGGACAATGAAACYGAAACACCTGGTTTTAGACCACAATAATTTATTAATATGGTGTAGGGCCTCCTTTTGTGGCCAATACAGTGTCAGTTCATCTTAGGAATGAGATGCAGAAGTCCTGCACAGTGGTCAGAGGGATTTTAAGCCATTCTTCTTGCAGGATAGTGTCCAGGTCACTATGTGATACTGGTGGAGGTTTCTTTACTCACTCATCCAAAACCCCCCAAAGTGGCTCATTAATATTTAGATGTGGTGACCGTGCAGGTCATGGGAGATGTTTAACTTCACTTTCATGTTCATCAAACCAATCTTTCACCCGTCTTGCTGTGTGTATTGGTGCATTGTCATCATGATACACAGCACCGCCTTCAGGATACATTGTTTGAAACATTGGATGCACATGGTCCTGCAGAATGGTTTGTAGTCCTTGGCAGTGACGCGTCCATCTAGCACAAGTATTGGGCCAAGGGAATGCCATGATATGGCAGGCCAAACCGTCACTGATCCACCCCCATRCTTCACTCTGGGCATGCAACAGTCTAGGTGGTACACTTCTTTTGGACTTCTCTACACCGTAACTCTCCCAGATGTGGGGAAAACAGTAAAGGCGGACTCGTCAGAGAACAATACATGTTTCACATTGTCCACATCTCAAGATTTGTGCTCCTTGCACCATTGAAATCAACATTTGGCATTGGCATGAGTGACCAGAGGTTTGGCTTTAGCAGCCCGGCTGTGTATATTGACCCTGTGGATAGCCCAACGGACAGTTCTGGTGGAAACATGAGAGCTGAGGTGCACATTTAATTCTGCCATGATTTGGGCAGCTGTGGTTTTATGTTTTTTGGATACAATCCAGGTTAGCACCCAAACATC